AAAAAAAATTAACTAATCTGAAAATAAAAACAAATTTACTTGGGACCAAAAAATGAACCTAGACAAACTAACTCAAATCTTTTTATAACAGCAAACAAAGCAAACTTTCTTTGGTTCACACAACTGGTCAATTTCAGATTACCTAATATTCTGGTTAATACAGTTATCATCTATGCCAAACTGATGTTAGAATACAGTTAGGAATATTTATACTGACCATTTTAATCAATCTTTGAGATTCAAAAACCGCTTAAGGATACTATAGGCCCTCAGAATAATCACTATAAATGTAATTATCATATCAGTAAGAATAACAATGTTATCTAATTGGGGATTCTCTTTTACAGAAAGCCAAATCAACTAGTTTTACAAAATTTTAACAACATGAATGTAGGGGACAGGCAATATTATCGTAAGTGCAAATATATCTACACAGTGATAACCTTTTACTTTAACAATTCAAGATTCTAAATATAAGAAAGGAATGAATTTATTCCACATTCCAGCAAGATTATGTCTCTGCTTCTCAGATAAACAAGAAAAACAGATTCTACAATAATCAAATATATTTCCCTTTAATCTCATCTCATTTTCTGACCTTATCCTGACCTGATGAATCAAAATCTCCAGGACCTAAACATACCAGGGCTTATTCTTACCTCGATGTTTTTGCCAAGATTGTTTCACTAAGGAAGAAGGCCCTTGCTTCACCACTCGACCTAACTAAAGTCTACTCATCCTTCAAGGCCAAGTTTATGTCCTCTTCCCTTTACAAGTTTTCTATATCCGCTACCCTCCACATTGCAATTAAGTATTGCTTCTGATACCCTCCTTCCACCTGCTACTGGACTGTTAGCTCCTTGATGAGAAGGATGGAGCTTTATAGGATAGTGTCTATACTTCTTATAGTCACTGATCTTGACTACTAAGCACTTACTGAACATCTATTGATTTATTTACTTTTAGGTCAAACATCAACCCCATTAATTTTGTGTACTTTCTATATATTTAGTTTTCCATGAACATGACCTCTTTAATTTCTAAGGTGATAATTTTTTAATGCTAAAGACCAAATTTATTTTTTAAATCCACTCAATTTATAGACATATTTTAGCTGTCAATATAAGCAACATAAAATCAACAGTTCAAACACAGCCTGGATAAAATGGGCCTAATGTCTTCCCTTTCAATTTACCTTGTAAATGAAATCCAAAATAACACTGACCTTATTTTCTTCCGGCTAAAGATCCCTAAGATCACCTAATTCAATGACCAGTTTTACTCTTCTTTCTTAAACAATATGCCTTTTTTTTAAGAGAGGGGGGTTTCGCCTATGTTGCCCAGGCTAGAGAGAGTACAGTGGCTGTTCATGGGTGCTATCCTACTACTGATAAGCATGGGAGTTTTGAACTGCTTTGTTTTGAAGCTGGGCCAGTTCACTCCTCCTTAGGCAACCTTGAAGTCCCCCACTCCTTGGAGGTCACCATATTGATGCCAAACTTGGTGTGGACACCCAGTGGGCACAGCACACTATAGCCCAGAACTTCTGGGCTCAAGCGATCCTCTTGCCTCGGCCCTCTAAGTAGCTGGGACTACAGACGTGCGCCACATCAATACTGCTTTTTGTGTTTGTATTTTTCAAACTGGTATTCCATCACTTCACCTCAAAACAGCCCTCCATTTGAACTATATTAACTTTGCTTCCATCCCAGTCATTTTTTAAAAGTTTTATTGAGATATAATTCACATTATCCCATTTATTATTTTTAAGTCTCTAAGTCCCCCTCCTGGCTTGATTTAGAATGATATACACATTTTTGAATATTTTCTAAATTGTCAGGAAAAGTATATATACTAAAATCTAAGTCTATATTCCAAACCATAGTAAGATTTTTGAATTGATTCTTTGTTAACTTTCACATGTGGGATGTCTCCCTGTTGCCTGAAGGATAGCTTACCAGTCCTTTGTCCTGGAGGCACATCATCAGAGTGCACACGTCTCCTGTGGCCTGATGATTCACCAACATCACTGCTTCATCTTTTGAAATTGCTTTAATATCTTCCCCCCATTCCATCACTGTAAGAATAAAAAGTTTCAAAGCTGTCATTCTAAAGATTTTTACATTACTAGAAAGATTATATTAGAAATAAATGGTGTACATTTATGATGACACATCACCTGGCTAAAATTTCTGAAAGTTTAGAACTAAGTGTATTTCCTGTAAAAATCAGAACATTGATATAACATTTTATAGAGCCCCAAATTATTCATTAAAATATAAAATAGTCATACTTTTGATCTAGAAGTTGCATTTCCTAGAATTTATTCCTATAGAACATTTATCCAAATAAGCAAAGACATAGGTATAAAAATGTTGATTACAACTTAAATGTTCACCAACAAGGAAATGAATAAGAAAAGTATGATATAATAGAAGAGTATAAATCTATGAAAAGAATGGAGGGTATCGCTATACACTAACCCAAAAAAGACATATTATTAACTAAACAAAGCAAATCACAAAACAGTGTACATAGCACAATCCCACTTTTTAAAAGAAGAAATACAATTTATATGTTATGTAATGCACTGAAAAAAGTCTGGAAAAAGGAATTCTGAACTATTAATACTGATCATCAATGGGAGGTGGTTCCCTGAACCCTTCGAATTCTAGTTTATAGAAAAATGTTCAGGAATTATAAAAATATGTATTTTCTCTGTAAGAAAACTAATAAAAATGCCAAATTTATTTAAAATTGCCAGATGAAAAGTCATTGCACCAAAACCTGTATGTGCACTCTAAGGAAAACAGTGCTATTTCTATATAGTTATGCCTCATTTTATAGTAAATATACTTCACAGAAAAAATAAAACTGAGCATAGTTTTCAAGCAGCAGGATTCTACAAAGAAACATCTAGGGTTCCTCAAATGCCTGACATGAATTACCAAAGGCTGATTCTATATTAGTATTCACTTTAACCCTATCCTCATGTCAAGCTCCCTGTGTGTAACAGTTCTAGATGAAATAGGGGTGGGGTGATCCACCGGAAGCCAATTTTGCACTATACTTCAAAATTAAGAAATGCACAAACTTTTTTACCCAGTAATTCCACTTCTAGGAATTCATCCTACAGATGTGCAAAATAACACATATACAAGGCTATTTATTGCAGCACTGTTTGTAAAAGCAAAGATGAAAACAACTAAAGAAGAGAAACTAGCTCAAATTCATAGAAACAGAAAATAGATTGGTGGTTTCCAGGGGCTGAGGGAGGGGGGGATTTTTGTTTAATGAGTATATAGTTTCAGTTTTGCAAGATGGAAAAAATTTGGACATGGTTGCATAACAATGTGAATATTCTTAACAATACTAAACTTAACAATACTAAACAACACTTAAAAATAGTTAAGATTGCCGGGCATGGTGGCTCATGCCTGTAATCCCAGCACTTTGGGAGGCCGAGGAGGGAGGACTACTTGAGGCCAGGAGTTCAAGACTAGCCTGGGCAACGTAAGTGAGACCCTGACTACACAAAAAATAAGAAAAAAATTAGCCAGGTGTGATGGTGCGTGCCTAGCTACTTGATAGGCTGAGGTGAGAGGATCACTTGAGCCCAGAAGTTCAAGGCTGCAATGAGGTATGACTGTATCACTGCACTCTAGCCTGGGTCACAGAGCAAGACCCTGTGTCAAAAAAGGTAAGACGATAAATTTTATGTTAGTGTATTTTACCACAATTATAAATTTTATAAAGGGAGACTAGCTAAATAAATTATGAAATATCTATTCAATGGAATATTATGCAATCAAAGCACTTATGTACTAATATGGAATGATATAAGTAATAAATGCAAAGTGTAGAATAGGGTGAAGGATGTCACCAGTTACATTTTTAAAAAGAATGGAGAATATATTTACTAAATGAAAACTCCCCATATCATGCCCCTGTTGACCACCCTTCTATGGAGACACACACATATACATATACACACACCCCATTCTTTCATTAATTCATTCTTCATTCAATAAATCTGCATCAGGTACTATAAGGTGTCACGGATATAAAACATATAAGAATATTCCAAGTATTATTCTAAAGTGAATAGCAGTTAAAACTCTCAAGAAAAGTCTAGCTTGGTTCTATAAATACTGAGTTATTAAGAGGTAAAGTGGAAAGTTTCCTGGCTCCATACCTATGCTAATAGATGTTACATAACCAAATACTCCTTTAATGCAATCTCTGTTACATGAATGGAAAATACTAGATATCTAGACCCACGTAGTAGGAAAGCATATATATGAATATAACTGAAAATAAACATAAGTTTTTATATAAAATGTGTCTTACCTGCTTGCTTTATATAAAGCAGATAAATCTAGTAAGTGAGATTGGTTTAAATATCAAAACATAAATTTGGATTCCTCTGTACTGGGTTGAATAGTATAACCCAAAAGTTCCTGTGCATCTAGAATCTGTGAATCAAGTTAAGATGAGGTCATACTGGATTAGGGTGGGCCCTTAACCTAAATCTAACATGACTGGTGCCCTTACGAGATGCAGGAAATTTGGACACAGAGACACAAAAGGAGAATGCCATGTGACAACAGAGGCAGAGAATGGAGTGATGTGCATACAAGACAAGAGACACCAAGGATAATGGTCAACCACCAAACGCTGGGAAGAGGCAAGGAAAGATCCTCCCCTAGAGCCTTGTGAGAGAACATGGCCCTTTGACACCTCAATTTCAGACTTCTAACCTCTGAAACTGAGAAAGAATAAATTTCTGCTGTTTTAAGCCACCTAGCTTGTGGTATTTTGTTATGGCAGCCCTAAGAAATTAATATAAGCCCTTCCCTAATTTTCCTCTTTCCATTCTTTTCCCCCAAAATTACAGTCTTCTTTTCTTATCAAGCATGGGAAAAGATTTTACCATTTAATATCTGAAATATTTTAATAGTCATCTAACATTATGTATTATAAATGGTTTTTAATGTTCATTTCTAAATACTTTGAAAGTATAATCATTAAGAGTTAATCCATGTTTTATCATTCAACCAGAACTTAGTGAAAATTTATTTTCAGACTAAATGCCAATTCACCAAGACACATGGCATGCTAAGTCAAAGAAATGAAGGTAGCTGGATCAACTTTTTAATCAAGAAATCATCTGACATAGCAATAAAGCCATGCTGAATTTTGTAATAATCCTAATTTTATGCAACAACAAATTTTATTTCCAATATATGGGGTATTCTTCTTTTAGAACATACTTCAAGGACCACTGTTGGAAAGTTAAGTAACTAACAAAATCAAAATCAAAATGTTTTTAGAGAAAAAGCAATTTATTTAATGTATGAAGTAGTTATGTTCCTCAGATCGTGATCTGCTATCGCAGGACCAGCAAATATAACAATAAAGCTAATATCTTAACCGAGGGATAGGATTACTCACATGTTAAAGTACAGAAGCCTGCCAGTTCTTACACTGCACTTGATTAGAAGAACAAAAATATTCTAACACACTGTTCTGTGAAATAAATTCTCAAAAAAAAAGAAAAAAATTGGGTCAGGTCTACTATTTCCAAAGGGAATTAAGGACCACAGAATAAAAACTGGAAAAAAGTTCTCTAGTTGTAATGAATTTTTAACATTCTTATTAAAAGCCAAAGCTAAAGATTATCACCTAACTACACACACACACACACACACACACACACACACAATAATCCATCACAAATTCCTTAAACACAGTTACACTAAAGCCATTACACTGACCCACAAAACAGAATTAACGTGGAAAAGACAGGTTGCTTAATATATAACCATAATAACTTACCTTTTAAAGTTCAAAAAGAATTAATGCCTACAAACTGATGCCACAAACTATTTTACCATTCTGTGCCTTAGTTTTCTCACTTATGAAACATTAATAATATTAATACCACTCAGACATGCTGTGAAAATGAATGAGATATAATTGATAGCACCATGGAGATCCTGGGTAATTGGATTACATGACAGTGAAGTCACTTTTGGAATCACTATTAATGAAAACAGCCATATGCCTACCGTGTCATGTAAAGTCAGATATTCTAATCTGAATAGTAAAGATTAAAGAGCCAAAACAACCCATGAATGGCTCTCACATAGCTCAAAGAACTGTGGCTCTCATTAGCCCAGGTTAAAGGCGGACTGGACTGGGTTTATCCAAGGTTAGGGGTTAGCGGAGAAAATGAGGCAAGAGAGAAAGGGAGTGAGGACGTTAATTACGAATGGCCGTGAGAAAGTGGCTGAAGGTACTGATTACTGGAGGGGAGACTGGTAAGGAAAGGAAGCCAAGCAAGCGGGTGATTACCTAGAGGTAGAGAGTGAGAGCAATTATAGTAAAGGTACCTGATGCCACCCCCATCTCCACAACATTCTATTCTAACTTCCTGAAAGGCGGCCCAGACAATTCGAAAAGCCCCCAGGTGAATCTGATGTATGCTTCTAAATAAGAACCACTGGAATCGAAGTGTTGGTTAACTTTTATTTTTTTAAAGCAACTATCCTGAATACACTAGGAAATCACGATCAGTGTCTCTTTTATGGCACTTAACATTTAAGAGGTGCAAATTTGAGAGGGTAAGGCTCAAGGTGTAGCTTTTGAAGCTACTGTTTATAACTAAAAAAATAATAGTGGCATATGTTATTAAATAGATACATAAATAATAATCTTAATACCTAACATTTGTAGAATGTTTATTATGTGCCTAGTAATCAGTAATAGAAAATAATTTTAAATTATTTTTTTCTTTAATCTTCACAAAATCCCAAATGTACAGTTACTATCATCCCCAGTTTACAAATGAGAAAACGAGACACGAAAGGTTAAGCGCTGCTTTCAAAGGTATACAGTTAGGAGGCAGGGGAACTGGGATTCAAAACCACTACATCATACCGTCACTGCCAGCATGCTTCAGGTCAGAGAACCTTGAGGACAAGAACTTGGATAAGTTGCCCATGCCACCCCTAAAGTTGCCTGTGACTATGCCAGGGAGTAGGGTGGACAAGCCAAGCCTCAAAGTCCTCAACA